GATCTGGTCAAAGTTGATGTACGAAAAAATTTTTGGACGCCGGGTCGCATCACGTTATCAAGCAACGACAGTGTATGCGTTTCTAGAGACTACCCTCATCATGCTGCCAGCCAGAGGCACTATAAATTCTACTGCCTGGTTGTTTGTTTCAATTCTAATGTAGAAGCAAAAACAATGAAGTCTAGTGGTAACGAGTTTTCGTTCCCGTATTTGCTCCTTTATACATGAGAAGCAGCTAGTCACCGTTTTTAATCGTGTGCCAAATCGGATTTGAGAAGGTAGTTTTTTAGGTTATATTATTACTGAATCGTGTATCTGAATGATGTGCTTCTGGTGATCATTTTTTTAGTGGACAGAGTTCGAGAATTGCGATACTGAGAATGATCAAATCTTAAGAGACCCGCTCAGTCCTTGATGATTTGAGGTTGTTGATTTTGAGGTTTACGGATTTGGCACAGTTGGTCATTCTATTGTAACTAATGAATTGCGTTATCGTTCAGTGAACAGATCTGTCAGTGCCTTTCGGTACTCACAGCATTTTGTATTCTTAGGCGCAAGTTTCCTTTGGAGAGTATGATTTCTGGCATATACCACAGCCACTATCAAACAGACCTCGCTTCCACAAATCACAAACTAAGTAACAGGCTACATATGAATTACGCAGAGCTGCGCGGTCTCTGTTAGACGCAAAAGTGCTAATTTGACGAAATGACTAATGTGCATTAATTCTAGTCATACGATGTTTATGGAAAGTGGTTTTATTATACATTAGAAATATTTATTCCCTGAGGAGGTATAGTATTTTGCATCATTTAACTAACTCATTTTGTCGTCGGTGTCCCAGATTTAACGACATAAACGACATTTGACGATTTTAATGATACGAGCAGATTGAATTGCATTGCTGATATATACATACTGATTGTATATTACATACATGAAAAATGATTTTTTGCTTTTTTTGGGAAATGCTCTGGTAGTGGATACAAAACGCCAGTTCAGGCCGTTGTCGAAGTTCGGCAATGCGTTTCTGAACCGGTTCCAATGCTCGCAGATGAACAACGAAGTTCTGAAGAGCATCACGTTCATCGACACGCCTGGAATACTTTCTGGTGAAAAGCAGCGCATCGACCGCGGCTACGACTTCGCCGGCGTTCTGGAATGGTAATTTTCACTCCAATTACTGTAATAATAATTGTGATGATGATGATGATGTGGTGGTGGCTGACGATTGTCCTGGTGACGTTATTGACAGGTAGCACAGCCATGATGATGTTAATCGCACTTTTGTCATAATTATCATTATAGTGGTTACCATCGCGATCATCATAGCTACTGCCTTCCTCATCGTCGTCACCGTGATTGTCATAATTATGATGATGAACATCATAATCTTTCCATACGTCAGATTATGTCAGATAAAGAATGACATTTCCAAGAACAGATTTCATGGCGTACAACAGCTTATGACGTTTACGCGGTAGCATATAATGAATACCAGCTCGTGAAACAGCGCAAGGTGGCTGTAGAGAACCAAATATTCGAGATGCATCTGGCATTACAGGTGCTTAAATACCATGGAACTGAGACACACTTAAATGCTCCCTTCCTCAGACAACTAGCAGCAAACGGGCTGTGCAATACGCCGTGAAATCTGGTTTTGGAAGAGTCATTCGTTATTTGATCATCATAATGAAGGGTGGCTAATGATGGCATTAATATGTAGAATAGCCGTAATTGTGATAGTCTGATGTTCATCAGCGACATCGTCCTCATCATCATGATCATCATCATCACGATCATCGCTATCCTTACTGTCGTTCCCCTCATCATCACCATGACCATTATAATGATGTGGTAGCAAATGATGTCAACGATTATAGTATTTCAAGTTCAATTGCTAAGGTTATAATAATGACAGTGTCATCACGACATGGTTATTACAGTGATCTCTATCGCTAGGTCCGTCATCAATATCAGCGTCGTTATCATCCCCATAATCATTACCATTATTATCGTGATCATTATTATCATGTTCATTTTCATTAAACATAGTAAGCATCACCTTTTGCCTCCATCGTCATTGCCGTTATTATTCGTGTTGATGGGGCATAAAATTATACGGAGACATCATTCACTTGTGGCTTGAGGTCCTCACTTATCTTGGTTTTGCGACTGTTTGTTACCTGCAATATCACGATTATGATTTTGTGCCTTTTAGAACAAACTGATTCTGCGTACTTATTTGGGGCGAGGTACGTAGTGAATGGCACAACTCATAGTTTAGCAGTTTACACTGTGTACAGCGTTTTATATCATGCACTTTATGCACCATCTGTTGCTCTAATATTACTTTAAATGTCTTTAAAATTTTTCGCCTTATTAACAGTATAAACATCCCGTAACCTCGATATATGTTACTTACACTCTGGTTAAGTGTAGCATATCTCGTGTTACATTGGCAGCGTGTTTTCTACGCAGTACCCGGTTGTCTTCAGGGCATATTCGTCATATTCTCGATGAAGAAGATATCATGCAAATGGAAGAACATGAAAAATACCTGGCGAGCTTGAAGCAAGCAGATGTTTTATTTAAAATTGAAATCTACGCCAGTATAACTGAACCTTTGACAGGTTAGCATCAGTCCTCCCACCAAGTTTAGGGAGAAGATACAAAAAGTGAGAGAAGAGAAAAGTTCAGTTGTAGGGACTGATCGAAACGAAAGGCGTATGCAAGCTGAACGTATCAATTATCGGGGTAACAGGGCAGTAAAGCCATAATAAGTAAGGGGTTGATGCTAGCTCTAAATGAATTTAGCCAGGTATTTTCACAAATGATTCAATTTGCGGGGACGGATTGCAAAAATGGAAAAGGTGGAGAATGTCAAAAGGGGACTATGAGGAAGTGCGTACAGGAAAACGATCTTGCCATTGCAGACAACCGTATACTCAAGAACCTTTCAACTCAGTGGAACTCGAACCAACTGTTCAAGAAGGATATCAACTGACGATAAGAAGTTTCATGCATGAACCAATGCATAGTGAGACGAGCAGCCCGGAAACTTTGTGACTTCCTTGATTCGCTTCTGGGGCTGTTCCATAATGGAATATTCTTTGCCTTCGGCACCCATTCTCCCATTTTCTGAAATTGTTATATGCCTTACTTTAAACTTTCGTGTTCTGGACAATTTTATCGGTATTTGCTCTCTTTCCGATAATTATTCAAAACGGCTGTTTACCGGGCCAGGCTACAAACCGTATACCAACTACAGCTGGTCATCTAAACGGTACGACTACATCAAGTTTTTTTTATTCGATCATTGTTCGTCACATGTAGGATATGGATTGTTTCGAATCTTGCTTCAGTTTCACGAAAGATGGCGCACTCTGATTCCATAGTTAACAATATAAACAGTTAAGGAAAAATACATAAAGACAGTGAAGATTTATAAACTTTGATTTAAAACCAGTGCAAAGATCATGTAGTGACTTCATATGGAAGATGAAATTCCATGAAGCGTACTACATGAAAATCATGTTTATCAACATGCCAAGAATCAAAACGGTTCAAAGGGAAAGTTTATATTTTTCTTTTCCCAATTCATGAACGTTGATGAGTCGCTATATTGCTTCTATTACATTGTCTCTAGACCAGAAGTTCAGCGCATGGATGAGCGGCCTTCTTGTAGCTTATCATTTACCTGTAAGTTGATATCTGTGTTGTTCATCACGGATTCGGTCGAATTACTCCCACACACGTACCGGACTAATAGCAGGCTTCCTACCAAAAGCAGAAAACTACTTATGCCTCATGCAGTACCTTCGTTATGACACGGCAGAGTTTACGCCATGTGTGATCATCACATTGGACGATCAGCCGTCCAGTCGGTTAAGAAGAATTGCAGTCAAACGTGGCGCTGGCATAGGACAGTGTGATCGTGTTTCTGTTCCATTTTTATAGGAACGCACAAATACACCCTAATATTCGATGGTCAGTGATTTGTTATGCATTTATGTTTTCTCCGTCATTTGTACCCAACTTGAGCGTCGAGAATTTCTTGCTGAAGAGAAATGATTTCTTTTTATGGTTTTCGACCTCAGCAACTCTCAAGTTTCAAGTTTCGACCGCTTTTACCAGTTTTCCTGTGTATACGATGATACATATCAGTGTCCATACATGTTTCACAAAGGAGATGGAGACGTACTGATGTGACATACGTCGTCACATTGATCTTCCGCTGCACATTCAGTGTTGACCGGTAAACTGCGAAGACAAAAATTCATCAATAGACGTTTTTATGTTTAAGTATTCTTACGTACGATTTGAGGACTGTTATAATGATTTTACAGGTGCTAAAATATGTTTGTTTTCAGGTTGGCAGAAAGGGTGGACAGAATCATACTTTTATTTGATGCTCACAAACTGGACATTAGCGATGAATTCAGAAGATGTATAGAAGCGGTGGGCGGCAACGAAGACAAGGTCCGCATTGTGTTGAACAAGGCGGACATGGTCGACCACCAGCAGTTGATGCGTGTATACGGTGCTCTGATGTGGTCTCTGGGTAAAGTGTTTAAAACACCTGAAGTGGCCCGTGTGTACATTGGCTCGTTTTGGGATCACCCCCTTCAGTACGACATTAATCGTCGACTGTTCGAGGACGAACAGCACGACCTTTTCCAAGATCTGCAAAGCTTGCCGCGAAATGCGGCGCTGCGCAAACTCAACGACCTGATCAAACGCGCTCGATTGGCCAAGGTGCATGCGTGTATCATCGCGTATATCAAGCGCGAAATGCCGTCCGTCATCGGCAAGGAAAAACGAAAGAAGGAACTGATCGCCAACCTGGGCAAGATTTACGAACAAATCCAGGTACAGAATGGTTTAGTGCATGTTCAGTCTTTTTTCGCTCTTCCCCTCCGCTTCACCTTAGCATCTGCTTCTTTTTCGAGTTTATCTATTGCGTTTTCGCAAGAATAAAGAATAGTAAATTATGTAAACAGTGATTCCTGTATAACTCAGAGTCTGTTATTTACTTATAAGGGATAAACGAAGAATAAAAATTAAAGGGTTTTATTGGAGAATAGTCAGTCAGTCAGTCAGTCAGTCAGTCAGTCAGTCAGTCAGTCAGTCAGTCAGTCAGTCAGTCA